CAATAAGTATCTGAAACTTATCGCATTTCTTAAGAAACAATCTATTGGAAATAAAGCGAGCAAAATCCAAAACATTCACGGCTGAAGATATATTCCAACAAATTTCTACAAGAAGCTCCCGATGAAGCATATCTGTATCTTTATTTTATTGCATCAATGAGTAATGTTCAATTTGATTGCAGAGTTTATCGTACTATGGCTCAGAGGTCTGAAGCTCAGGTTGCCACGCTGGTGGTCCAGTTTCAATTCTCGGTAGGCCCGACATTTTTTTTCTGGCTTGTCAGTTATTTCAATTTTTCTTTTTTCCTTTCCTGTATATAATCAAGGCTTTGGACATATGGGATAATATGGATAAGAACTTTTTCAACTATTTCAATCGCTCTTAAGGGCAGTTATTTCCAAAAGCTGCGTTCGTAGAAAAAATCTTGTGTGTATTTCGAGCAAAGTTTTATTGCTGCTCTCCAAAGATTACCGCGCTCTGCTCCGCATCGCGCGCAATCTATCACTTTGCGCTCTAAATACACAAATAGCTATTTAGGCATCCAACTTTTGAATATTTTTGATATTTCTGTCAATATCAGCTCATAAATCATCATCAGAAGAGAAGTTGATTTTGAAGGCAAAAAAATCTTATTGTTTAGTTTAGATGCAAACATGACAGATGAATTGATAGCAGACTGATTTGAAAAGCGAAGAATTAGGGTTGTATGTACCTTTTGACAAAGACTCTCCTAGTTCTTTGGAGTTCCTGGACGGACATTCCCAGTTTTTAACTGTTCTATGATATTTTGAGGCAGCAAACACTATACGATTTTTCAATAGACTTATGGAGACAGTATATCGGGAGCAAATGATTTGTTCTTGGCAAGCAATGCGTACCTATCCCAATTTCTGGAAAAAATGTTTTTCCCTTCACCGTTCATTCAACATGTGTAATCTTAACTACTCACGTCATAGGTAAATTGAGAAATGTCAATAAAAACTAGATGCAAATACTCAAAGATTCAATATGAGTCCACTTGGTAGAGAAGAATATCCAATTTGACAGTAGTGTGGAATTATTCTAGGTGCCCCAGGTCTTTTCATACGGCGAGTATCACAACTATGCCGCCAAGAAAAATATTTAAACAAATTGATATGAACTGAGCAAAAATATCTTGAAGGTTTTACTGTTATATTCAAATTCCGTCAAGCAACAATCAACTTCAAATGACACTCCATATTTTGATTATGATTTCAGAGGTAGATCGATTCTGATTACAACACTTGACAATGTTCAAAGCACTTTGACAGTAAACATTTCTGCCAGTTCTTGTATTCTTTCTCCAATCTCATATAACTACTAATCAGCCGATTCATTTGACAGAATTTCTTATTTTAGTTAATAAGCTTCACCACAATTAAAATTAATAATGGAACAAGAAGAACTGGAACCTATTAAGTTTTATTACACTACCGAAAAATGTACTGAACAATTGGATAGGTCAATGTAGTAGAGAACAAATATTTTTTGGAGAAATGTATGTTTTTTCAACTCATAAATACAATATAAGTTGGTTGGTGGAGAAAACATTTATGGCATTTTTTTAGTTTCACCATGAAATCAGTGAAATCTCTACCAAATGGATTATATAGACAATGATTCGAAAATGACTCAATGATTGATATGAAATTTGAATGAATAAAATGATATCTCCGTTTTTTCTTGTTACCAGAGTACAGCTGTGTTACTATAAATATAAAGGAAGTATGGATTTTTGATTAACCTTTCGAGTATGATTGCAAAAAATATCATAGAAAATCGTTTAAAATAATCGACAATAAACGTATTGTTTCATTAAATACAATCAAATAGGAATGTAAAAAAATTGACTTACTAAAAAAAATGTTTAGATAGCACATCTAGAAGTATAATTATTTAAAAAATATTTTGTATAAAAATTGCGAACACAATGAGAAATTAAAACTAGAAAAATTAATTAAATACAAATATACATAGCTTCTTTCCAAAGTCTTTGTCTTTGCATATATTTTGAAACAGAATAACGAAAAATATTCGGCAACGCAACTAGTGGACCCATACAAAATGGCGATTTGATGATGGGGCCTAACTGACGATACTATTCTGTTCAAAAACTAGATGGGGGGAAAAAGACTTCTGAAACATACTATATCTTTATCTAATCTAGTTAGAAGTTTTTACCAACTATTCAACCAGATTAATAATGGCAGTGATTTCGGGCTGGTTGTTAAATGGTCAAAACCGCAAACAGTTTCTTTCTAAGTTTCCTTATGTTACTATACAATCATTATACATATCCTACTATACAAGGTGAACGACTCCACCACAATTTTTACACTCTTATTCCATATGTTACATTAGGTATAACGAACCTTTGCTAGGAGATCCATATTTGTCGAATCATATAAAAACTGGAGATGTTGCAATTGACATTTTGAATTTGACTTCTGAATGAGTCCCAGTCTGCTGATTTTTGTTCATAATGACATTTCGTCATTCCAAATAAGGGATGCAAAGTGGTGAACAACTTTAGACAGTACCTACTAACAAGAATGTTATCTACATCTTTGTTATAATTGATTCAAGGATAATGATAAAACGAGAAGAACATTCTCTATAAAAAAGTGTTCTTCAGATTTCACAGATACACAAGTTTCTCAAATACTTCATAGGATAGTAATGATTCTAGGAAACTACATTGTTTTGATCCATATTATACTCAGGTCAGTTAGGATTTGGAAGTTGTAAAATACACAAAATGTGGTGAGTCGAAAATATTACAACGTTAAGATCTCCACTGACTTCCTGTAAAGATGACATAGTATATATAGAGTGGAGACTTTAGCTGAAATAAATTCGAGCGGGGAGGTGAATATTTGTTCTGAAAAATTTTAATGTAGTTTCCTACATTTTGAGAACAATATAAAGAATATAGCCTTTCAAGGGTGGCTGAAATCGGCCTCATGGATTTTCACATGCAAGCCCGGTTGGAAAGCTGATTGAAATCAGAGAAGAATCCAGCATACTTAGAATATTTTAGTTTGTAGTATGTTTGATGATTTCATTGAAACAAAACGTAATTTTGAAGTTTTATGTATTTCTGAAGTAATTTAATTTCACGTTATTTATTTTCAACATGATAAAAATAAGGTTTTTGAGCGGTTCAGTTGATAAAGGCATTGTTACCAGTTTGCAGCACTTTGTTTTGAACTGTGAACGACAATCGAACTAAATTTCTTTTTGCAGCACTGTTAAAACACAGGCATAAAATATCAGATATCAGTTGTGGCAAAAATTGCTTCGAATTGCCTGTGGAGTTATCTGGAAATTGAGGTCAACACACATTTTGAGCAATTGTTACAATGAAAATATTTATTTTTATGCAACCCTCAAATTCACTAAAAAGTAAAATTTGGTCAGTACGCTGGATTCCTCTTCCCACCACTTTTCCAAAGAGGTTCACAAACCCTATGGTTGAATTTGATTGAATATGTTGAGGGTGGTTTCGGCACCTTAAAGAGCTACATTTTCCATGTTGCTCACAAACTGTACGTATATATACATTGAAACGTTGACGTATGTCATAATTTTTTTTTTAAATGCACCTCTTTTTTGAAGAGTATCTTGTTATCTGTTTATTCATATCTCAAATAGAAACGAAGATGAAGTCGGAAATTCTAAGAAATAGACCAATCTCAGTATTATGAAAAATTGTGATGATTGGTAACTTTTAAGCCCTTATTTGGAACAACAAAAGATGAGTGGAAGAAGAATGTCAGCTTACTAGGATTCATTCAGAGGTGACGTCCAAATGTAGCATAAATGCAATGGTCTATGAATAAAGAGATCAAAGCAGGTCTTTGACATCTTGAAATTTTCTTAGATTTTGAACAGATTCAATTCAAATGAGGTGGTAATTAGTGATAAGATCTGTTTATTAACTAGGAAAGCTGTATTTTTCAATCTGTGAATGAACCACCGTTTGAAATATTATGATATTATACAGGGTGGGTCACGGTGGATGGCTTATTAGAAGTATCTGGAGAACGAAAAGACAGAACATTCTGAAAATTAGGATGCTTTGATAATCGAACATTTTCTATTCGTCGAAAATGTTTTCATCGATACAGTGTTGCCATTTCTATCAGAAACAACTAGCAACTTTGTTATTTCAAATGGAACACCCTTTATTTTATTGCATTTTTAGATTCTTCCTGAGGAGCTGATTTCATCAACGTATCACACATGGGGTCTATCAGAAATGATTACAAAGATATAGGGTATTCAAAATCAAGATTTTCCAATTTTAGGATTTTTTTGTGTCGAAACTATTCATTATTCATCAAAACGGCTTACATGTACCTATCTTAACTTTTGATTCACTATCAACTGGAATTTAATTGGAAAAAATACAGGGTGCTTCAAGATTCAGAATTCTGATCACCCTGTATGGGTTCCAATTAAATGTCAGTAGATAGTGAATCGAGAGTTGAGATAGGGACATGTAAACCATTTTGATCGATAATGAATAGTTTCGACATGAAAAAATCCCAAAATTGAGAAATCTCGATTCTGAACACCCTATATCTCTGTAATCATTCCTGCTAGACCCCAAGTGTGATGCATTGATAAAATCAGCTCTTCAGGAAGAATCTAAAAATGCAATAAGATATAGGGTGCTCTATTTAAAATAACGAAGTTGCTAGTTGTTTCTGATATAAATGGCAACACTGTATCGATGAAAACATTTTAGACTAATAGAGAATGTCCAATTATCAAAGCATCCCAATTTTCAGAATGTTCTGTCCCTTCATTCTCCAGATACTTCTAATAGGCCATCCACCGTGACCCACCCTGTATTGCGATGAAAATGATATTCAAATATGATCTTTCAGTGATATCAATTTTGAATTTGTTTCAATATTAAATCATCTATTTATGATAAACTTGAGAAATCAGTGAGTACATAAGTTATTTTGGCCAAATCAGTTGTGAAGTTAAAGTTATTATGTTTCATTTTTCAGTTTGATTGTTCAGCTCACAAACGAATTTCAAGATGTCTTGATTCTATTTCTTGATCCATTGATCACATGAGGATTTCAATCCCAATATTCTGAAAAAAATTAAAAAGAACAGTTGGGATACAACTTCTATGGATTTGGAATATGAATGATTGAAAATTCTTAAATAGATATTAGTTATTATTGCTCTTGTTGTACTATATCAAATCCCATGATAGCAAATATTTGTGCGGCTACAAGTTGTTGATCCACATCACAGCAAAATTCATAACAACATAAAATCGCGATTTCCAGTTTTTATATGAACATTAACATTTCCTTGACCATTTAAACACGCACGCTGGTGTTTCATATTTGTTTTATACAAAGGCTCAAAAATATTATAAATATTATTTTAAATAACAACATTTTTATCACGTTTGCTTTGAAATGGGTTTACGATGATGCTTTCGCCTAGGTTGTGATGGAAACAATGAAGGCCTGAGAGCATCTTTCGATGACGGATCCAAATGTGGTATCGATACTATTCTAGTCGGTTTGTACTCTTTTTCCAGCACCCATTCGTCGGGAGCGCTATAAAACAAAATGGAAATTAGATATATCACACACTTCCTACATTATTTCAGTGTATCAAGTAGGTACAATATGCAGTGTATTTTTTGAACTGTTGAAGCTATCAGAGCCTCCTTCACATTTATTAAAAATATCGTGGACTCGTGGACAATAGACGCGACATTTCTACACAAAAATTGCAGTGGCGGCTTTAGATAATATATTTCAGTCACAGCTAATAAAAAAAATAACGAATTCAACAGGTTCCATGACACTTCGCCGAATAGACAAGACGCCGAAATTTCTGTCAAAACGCTGAAACAGATCGGTGGACACTTCGATGCAAGTGTAGGATCAAGAAGTGTGCTGATTTGCAACTATTTTCTAAATAGCATAAAAGAGTTATGTACAGGGTGGCCAACTAAGAATCCAGAGTTTGATACCTCTGTTGTCTTGAGAGATACAAAAAAAGTTTTGCATTCAAATTAAAGTGATAACCGAGCTTCACATTTCAAAATTTCTTAGAAATACACAGGGTGTTCTGTAAGGTCACAGCACATCAAAGCTATGTTTTTTTCATTGAAACACCCTATATTTTATTTCATTTTTGAATTCTCCCTGAAGATCTGATTTCAACGATGTATCATACTTAGGGTCTAGCAGTGAAAGTTACTGAAATATAGGGTGTGCAGAATCGAGATTTTCCAAGTTCAGGATTTTTTTCTGTCGAAACTGTTCATTATTCGTCGAAACGGTTTACATGTCCCTATCTCAACTTTTCACTCACTATCAATTGGTGTTCAATTGACATTTAATTGAAACAAATTATAAATTTAGATTTTTTGACCACCTTGTATCATACTGTCTGTAGGTATCAATTTCAATTGAACACTAATTGATAGTGAATGAAAAGTTGAGATAGGGACATGTAAACCGTTTTGACGAATAATGAACAGTTTCGACAGAAAAAAAATCGTAAACTTGGGAAATCTCGATTTTGCATACCCTATATGTCAGTAACTTTCACTGCTAGACCCTAAGTATGATGGGTCGTTGAAATTAGATCTTCAGGGAGAATTCAAAAATGAAATAAAATATAGGGTGTTCCGATGAAAAAAACATAGCTTTGTTGTGCTGTGACCTTACGGAACACCCTGTGTATTTCAAAGAAATTTTGAAATGTGAAGCTCGGTTATTACTTCAATTTTGATCCATGATTTTTTTTTGTATCTCTCAAGACAACAGAGAAATCGAACTCTGGAGTCTTAGTTGGCCACCCTGTACTATTTATTTATAACAATAATTAGAATCAGATTGTGAACTATTTGAAGGAAGCCTTTATGCCGAAAAACGCCAGTGGAAAGGTGCCGAAAGTTAATGTTGCCAAAACGCTGCATAGATCGGAAATGCATGTGTTGAAACAGAAAGCCCAATTTTGCTCAAAATGTCGAAAGAATTCATTGAACACATCGCCGAAAGTGGTAATTACGTCGAAACGATTCTTCGCACATATATTGTCGAAAGTGGTCAAAACGTCGAAGCATGGATATTTCGCCTAAAGTGGTAAAATCTCATTTGTCAAATTTCCAGAAGTGGAAAATGTGTAAGAGTCGCTAGAAATCAGATAATGACTAATCAATGATACTCGCAAAACAAAAAGACAATCAGTACATTCTCGGACACTTTGTCCACCTTCCATCCCCCGCCTCCTTTAATAATCAGCTGATGCTGTGGTGACGACATAATCGTCAGCGTCAGCTGAGATTGATCAATTCGCCGTTCTAGTCAGAAGTTTCTCCTCATGTAAGAAAACAAAAAGGAATTAAACTATCAAAAACTTGGAATGGGCCTATTTCAGTGGGACATTTCATTCCATTATCTTGAAGTACTAACCCAAACTAGTTCACCATCAGAGCTCTGTACATTGTTCAAAAAAAAATCATTGAAATCCACAATATTCCATAAAAACGGAGAAACAGACAATAATGAGCGTGACGACATCCACTGTGACCAATCCAATGCAACCCTATACACATACGATACACTCACATATCCACTCACCATTTTTATTCAGAAACAACGAGAAGATTTCTGATTGTCATAATTTTTTTGACATATTCTATACCTTTTTATCTTTATTGATGGTCCATGGACTATTTGAAAGAGACTCGCTTGTTTTGTTGATAATAATAAGTTTAGTGACTCATTCAACTTGATTTTTGTTCGATAATCATCAAGCATCGACGATTTGAATACGAAAGCAGGTTAAGGTGTATTGACAATGGGCAGTTGGTAGTTGGTAGTCGAAGATGAGGCATAGGCATTTTTATGCAACCGTGTTCAATTGCAGTCGGTAGTTAGCCGTCGGCCGCTTGCGGTCGATCGTCTGTAGTCGGCAGCCAGGAAATCGATCTTTGACTGCCAACTGCACAACCGACTGCTGAATTCTAACCAATCACGGGACATTTCGTGACGTCACGAACAACTCACCGCACAATGTTTTCAAGTGTACATGACGAGGCAGATTTCAAAATTTTTGTGTCAGAACGAGTGGGTTGAAGAAGGGTAATAAGGTTATGTTCGTTGTCGGTGAGTCAATTCACTGTCTGAACAGATGTCAAATGATTCATTACGGACTCCTTGTTAATTGTTATTCAAATCGTAAAATAAGCAACAGCGGAATAGTTCCTCAAGAGCTGCTCCAGAGTGCGAGTGGTCGGTATTCTCTCGAGCGGCCGAATGCCAACGACCAACTGCCAACTACCGACTGCCTATTGTGGATACACCATTAGGTGGTTTGATACCTATTTGCAAAAATAACAATGAAAATTCGCCAGGAAAACTTATTCTGACCGTTCCTGCTAGCACCGACCGAGAAAACATAGGCTGGATGCAGTTAATCTGAATTCATTTCACAGATATGGCATGGTTGTGAGATTATTATAGCTCGAGTTTCTAACCTCTTCGGTTTCTAAATTCTCAGCTCTCGAGAGGTCTCTGTTTGTAGAAAAAAAAAACAATTTTCATTCCACTATTACCTTTGTAAAAATTAATAGATACTACATTATTTATATTATAAATATTACCGGATGAACCTTTTACCAAATCAGAATCTAGTTAATTTGAACTAAATACTTGAGTAGGATGACATAATTCTATAATCTGAAGATAATCTCCAAATTTGAATATCCTCGGTACCCGCTAGATTTGGTTAGATTAGGTTTAGGCTCAATGGATTCAGGTTCTTGTTTCCCTGTGTACACACACGGTGAAAGTGAATTCTTGCTCTTATTGGTTGTTGAGAATATTTGCTCTTATCTTTAATCATTTTCAAAAGATTCCGATTTGTATCATTAAAAAAATGAGAGATTATATGGAAAGATCGTTATAAAATAGTTAGGTGGTGTAAATTAGATTTTTTCTATGTCATGTCACAATCGGCATGTCAAGTTGAATTACAATTTTAATCGACTGTAGGCACTTTCGAATCCTAGAAGAAAAATAATAGTCCTGCTTATATCATTTTCAATCCACTTCAATTTTTGGTGTCATCAAACATCAAGCATCTTTGTTGTTGAACGCAATATCTGTGTGTGGGAATTCTCTGCTCAGTCAATTAATATTCTTTGGTATATATAGGCACTTGTAGTGTCTTTTATATCAAGTCCGGACCACAATCTTGCCTTTGGTATTTCATAACATGATCGTCATGAAATTATAGAGGCAAACGTTTATATTTTTCGTTATAAACGTATTTGGTTCCAGTTTCCTAGCCTACTATGATTTCCATAGAACATAAAAGATTTTTCCTGCAAGCGATACGTAACAAAACTATCTCGCTATAATGAATAAGAATATAGAGGAAAAACAGCAACTGTCTTATTTCAACTGTAACTCCGCTTGTTGAACCAATGTCGTTCTAAAGGAAATCCTAGTTAGTAGGCGAGAGGTATAATTTCTGTTATGCAGAATTCAAATGTGAAGTTTTAAACATAGTCAACTGAAGCATTGTCAGTCTGTAGGCGAGAGGCATAATATTGTCTGCTCATTGATTCCATTTTTTTTTTGCCCGTCAATGGCGCTAGTTTACTGAAAACCGCTGAAAACATCAAGAGCTTAATTGTTTCGATGAAATATTTGTCAACATGGACAATTCACTTCAGACAAATTATTTTGATCAGATTGTAATTTCGAGATCGTTAGTTGTTGGCAAGGTGGGTTGTTGGTTTGTTTGATTTTGATGTAAAATTTTGCACTTGTACAAGAGGTAGAGGTAAGTGCATTCTTTAACACTCCTTCTCAATGCAGACGTGAATTTGAGGCAACATGCATTAACTTCCAACAACATCAGGTAAGAATTTGACTTGAGCCATATAGATATCATTTATATTTTATAACAATGAATTGGTATTCCAGGAATAAAGTAGATAAGCAGTTCCTACTTTTTATTCTTAGCTTGCATGCCATGATTTCAATAAAGTGCAAACAGTAATGTTTTATCACATTACTGATGAGTTTTCAGATTTTACTCAAATTGAAATAACACCAATGAATCGAGAATTTCATCATTGCATAAACAATCGTTTCTTCTTTATGCATACTGCTTTCCCTATTTGTTAAGTACCTAAAATGTTATGTCATGAGAAATTCTTGATCAAAAACTTGTGAGGAATTCAGGGTTAAGATAACAAATGGATAACTTAGTTCGGAATAGAGGTCACTAGTTTACTGAAAATGTGATCGATAAGGGCGATTTTCGTAATTATTTTTCAATCAACAGACAATTAATTATACCTCTTGCCTAATCCGTAAGTCTTCATTTAGAACGACAATGGTTTAACAAACTTGGAATTGAATATCGGTACACAACCAAAATGACACCAGTAGTAATGTCAGAAGATTGTCAGGAGTGTAGTAGAGAAATAATATTGAATTGTTATTCATTGATACACCGTAATCTACATACTAAGAAGCTCATCAAGTTTTAGATCATCAATTCATTTTGTTTTAAATATTTTTTTGAATAAATAAATCGATTGGAGAACAGATGCCAATTCGACCAATGAGTTGCAATGAAAGTTTGCTCCCCTAGCCAATATTGTAGAGGCGGGCGTTTTGAGGTATTATGCGCGGTTTTTTGGGTGCTCTGTATGTTTTCCTCAGGGGTTTCAAGGCCTACTGTGACTTTTGAAGCCCATTAGTATTATTCACGTATCTTTACAATTTTACATTATTCCCTCATATCGAGTTTCAGGAAAAATCATATCTGGTTCAACTTTTTCTCACAGCAGGTAAGAAAATTATCGGAATAAATACATTCCTATAATATATTGGTAGGTTGTGAATAAGGATATTGAATTTATTCCAAAAAATATTAAGACTTTCCATCGGACTATCGAAAGTCTTAGTCGGAAGACTGAAAAAGAAAGTAAAAATGGTATTACAATAAAATTCATCTTTCAATATTAACGATGAAGGCGATGTATGAGATGAGAAGTTTCCAAAATATTCCTGATATTTGGGTAAAGGAGAACGACGCTGTTTCACTACCCCAATATCAACTGTGGAGGTGATGTATGATAAATGAGAAGTTTTCAACACATTCCTGAAATTTTAGTGCATGAGAAGGACGCTGTTTCTCTACCCCTACCGAATTATTCATACAGACTATCACTGTAACATCCAGTTGATACAGTTACAATTTGGTCCACCCCACTCCTGATTTGAGATTTTTTTTCTCATAATATACTACTCAAAACGATCTACTTTGTCGAGCAAAAAAAAACTATCATACAAATTTTCTTAGTCTACTGTGATTACAAAAACTCCAGCAAAATTGAAGAAAACGGATTAGGCGTTTCTTTTTCAAAAATGTTGATAATGGCGATAGATTTGGGATAGTCACAAATACTCCTATATGAATTGTCAAAACAATATGGGTGTTTTCTATCAAAGTTGCAATTTTTTAATATCGCATTTTTCAACTCACTTTGTATAATAATTGTTTTGAGAACTTGAATAATACCATACAGTATGGTAGTGAGGATTAGATCATCTCTGACTACAGAGTGAGAAATTAAGGCCAAATAATAGAGAACAGTTTTGATGAAAAATAATAATAACAGTTTGCAGAGAGATACCACCAGAAGAACTGAGGAGAGTTGAAACTAACAAAAGAGATATGAAAAGTGTATAGAGACTGAAGGATTTTTGATCAAGAATACAAAAATCTGAACTTGTTAGGAATGGTTGCTGTTTTAGTTCTTTTTCTAATTTGTGATTGGTATCATTTAATCTTTTCTTAAATTTTTATAGTGATTTTATTTGTTATTTATCTCACTCTCTAGACCCATTAGCAAATCTTTACTACATTCATGCCTGGTATCATTAAATTTCGTATAAGAATTATTATACACGTTGACTTGAGAAATGCAATTATTCAAAAATTGAAACATTAAAAAAAACACTCCTTATGAAATATTGTTCTGAAAATTGATAAAGGGGTAATTGTGACTAGTCCGAATCGATGCCATTACCAAAATTTTTGTAAAAAAATGGCTAATCCATTTTCTTTATTTTTGCTGGAGATTTTGTGATCGCAGTAGGCCGAGAAATTGTGATTGATATTTATTTTTTGCTCGACAAAGTAGATAGTTTGAGTAGTATAATTATGAGAGAAAAAAATTAAAATTGTCCTAGGGATACGAAAGTACAGGGGTGGGGGTGGCCAAATTGTAAGACACTGCAAGTAATCATGAAATGGCAATCCTGCCTGAGTGAATCTTGCCTCAAAAAAATTATTTTAAAAATCGAAGATTTGTCACAGTACCCTCTTTATCGATTTGTTACGCCAAAAAATGGGAATAAGAAATGATATAAAATTGTTGAATTTGTGATGTGACATCAGTATAACCTTTATTTTAATTTGTATTTTACTTGACGTCACAACATACTACTGTCAGAACACTAATAATGTGAGTTGACATTTTTAATGTTTCTAGTGGGTTGTTCACGTTGACGTGATAACTTTAAAATATGCGCATCTTTGAGAGTTGGATGGAAACACTTGAGGCTTACTTTAAAAATGCTTTAAATAAGCAATATAAGGTACCAATGAACAAATATTGAATATGCATTTACACGTTTCAACTTAGAGAGCATGATTTCCAATAAACAGAGAGTTGAATTTTCCTCTGCTTCCGCTATTCCTCAGCTTAATAGGAACAAAAGCTAATATTAGTACCAATAGGCAGAACTAATTTATTCACAATTACTGTACTAGATGTTACATTTTCATTCGATCACCAGATATACTATAGTAAAGAAGACTTTCATAGCCTTGCAATCTCATTCCAATCTAGGCTAAAAAAAAGTCTTGTCTACCTTGGTTTCATAATGTTTACTACCTAGTATGTGATGAAATTCAATAGCGTTCAGTCATTGAGGAATCCACTGTTTTTATCATGAATTAAAATGAGTGTTTTCCACAATATTGTTTTTTTTTACATTTGGAGGGAATCAGGTGATTAGCTATGTAAATGGATTGATTCTACATGATATATAAACTAACAACAATAACTATAACAAAAGAGAAGTAAATTGCTGATGTACATATTCATCTTTTTTTTATTCATTTGAATACTCTAAGAGATAACAGGTTTTGAATGCATATGGAAAACTGGCGCAACAATTCTCGCATGAGCTCTATCAGACTGTCCAGTTTTAAAAATGACGGTATCATTGAATATGAGTAACATGAAAGGCAAATTGTTAGTGGCAATCTGACCATCATCATCAAATATAGTGATGAAAAGTTGGAGGTATTGAAAAAAGAGGCGATAACTGCCCAGAATTCATAACTTTGTCGGAAGTGATGTGCACTATTTCAATGATAAAGAGGTACTTGATAGAAAAAATGCTTAAAATTATTTCCATATAATATGTAGTTCATTTTTTGATTGCAGTTGAGAAAGAGATTCTGGATATGGACAAGTTATAAACAAACCAACTTGAATGATTCAACCTCTGAAAATAATTTTATCATCATATTATTTCATAGTCCATTGGGAATGCACCAGTTCATATTTTGTAGAGAACCAACGTAGTACCAGTGCAAAACTGGTGCAAAACCAGTGCACCACCAGGTTTATGGAATTCACTATTAGAGATCTGGTATTACATTCGTTTTTCCAGCACTCAATAGCTTGCCAAACTATGCTAAACAGGCGATCAGGGTTGGCCGATATATATCAAGTGATATATATCATGATATGTATCATGATATATATCTGATATTTATTGATTGATATATATCATGATATATATCATTTACTTCTTTTTAACAAAATAAATACCGGAGCAAAAAGTCCTTGATATTTTGCGTTAAAAATGAATACGTGACAACAATGCGTTTCGTGGTTATAACTTACAACTCGGAGAATCCCCGGTTTTTGTTTACTGCTTGTTAGGTACATGGTACCATGCATACAATGAGTTGGTGGAAATCGGTTGCAATTCCTGACTCCGAATGGCCAAAAAAAGAACTCTTCTTACAACCTATGTGAGCAGGTATTCAGTGCAGTAGCAGCAACAGCTGGTTTAGAAAGAATTTTTTCGAGTTTTGGAATAGTTCAATCTAAATTGAGAAATCGTCTAGGCAACGAAAAAGCCAGTAAGCTAGTATTTATTTTTAAATGTTTAAACCCAAATACAGATAAAGAAGCCAAAAGCTTGAACTGGATCTCGTCGAATGATGAATTAGTTGCCTTGAGTGAAGATGATAATATTGATAATAATGATTATCTTCCTCTTTCTCGGTTTTGTTTGGTGTTTTGTTATTTCAAATTAAACCGAGAATTAAACTGAAGTTTGATTTTTGTTTTTACCAAAATAAAGGTATTTTATATTGTGTTTTTTTTTGGCATATCAGCCTAGGAACAAAATCGAAATTTCTGATATATATCGGATATATATCCGTCTGATATATATCGGATATATATCCGATATTATGATATTTTGATATATATATAAATATCATGATATTTGCCAACCCTGCAGGCGATAGCGTCGGTAAAGTAGCAACTTCCGCACTAGTTCCAGAATAGGTATTTTCCTAACATGTGCGCAAAGTGTTACTTTCCGCACCCAAATACAGTTAGGCGCACGACGCGAATTTTATCCGCCCGGCGTGCAGTATTACTTTTACACACGACCACTCAAAAATACCCAAATTCCCCTTTTCCGCACTCATTCCAGTGTCGAAAGTTTTTCCCGCGCTAGTGCGGAAAAGTGAGTCTTTCAACACTCAAATGTGCGCCTAGGGAGAAGTGAACTTTTCTACATGCTAGTAGAAAAAACTATTTCCATCACGAGATTGAATGAAATGAAATAACATATCACTGTTTAATAAAAGAACCCAAATTCCCATCTTCATTCACAAGGTAGTTCGATCAGCAGGTTACTTCTCAGTTGAAATTTCGGGTGCTGAGGAAAAGAAACTCGGTCGTGAATACTTACACGTCTGCAGGATGCCACCTGAGCAGGTATTTAATGCTACCATCGTTTTCTACTCGTCTAGCTAAAACTTCGCTTCTTAAATGGACTGTATCACCAGTGTCGCTTATTTTTCCTAACGTTCTTTTCTGCGTCGACATGAGAAGATTGTGCTGAAGGCCCTCCATTATACCGGGGTCGATGAAATCGAACATGCGTGCTGAAAAAGAAAATCGGGAATATCATAGCTGGCCAGGCCATTGATGAAAATGTATGGAATACTATCGTTAGCTCTCAGGAGTTTTTCATATTATTACCACTACTACTCTTCATATTACTGTGAAGAAAATAATAGTCGGCTGTATCTGTCGTGGTCGAGTGATATTCAGGAAGATTATTTCATGAGCAGTATAAAATATCCTAATTTTTATGAGATTCGCTCAATTAGACTTACTCAAGTAAAATTTTGGCGATCACGAGAGTTTGAGTAGTCACACAAAATTCATAGTTTTTCTGCTGTCAGAAAGAGAGACCGTACGATGAATCGCCATGAAATTTTGGAAGGACACTACTCTTTTCATCCAACAATTTCATTTTATGATTTTTGAATAATCAGTTTTTTTTTATAATTTCCGAAAACAAAAAAGAATACCCTGTAAAATCCATAACCATCAATGTGATTGTGATGAATCTCCTTCACTAGTATGAGATAATACATCAGTTGTGGATTTGTTTATTGTGAAATTTGAGTTAATGAATCATTATTATAATTATAATTTCATTGATACAAGACATTATTTCTGATTAGGATGATAGATGTTGAAATTCAGATTTTTTAGATCTGAAACTCCGGTTCCCTAAAAGGTTTTCGCCATAATTCTTCTCATTTACCCCGACTTGTTTTCATTTTTGAGGTGTATAGATGTCAATTCCAATAATAAATATAAATAATATATCAAGGTATACATATACACTATTATGCGAGATATTGTTGTCATATTTTTGCTTCGTATTTTGAATATAAATATATCCGCTCGAATTGAATCACATTTTATAGTAATTTGGATACTTGCGGAAGTATCCACCTCAATGTTCTAATGTTCTATGACAATATAATCTATCCATACAGTATGATGCAAATGTATGGAATAAATTCATTATTTCAGAAATGGGCGACATTTGAAAAAATTCCAAAAACACGTGAGTTTTAATTTCTGAAGCCTCATCTCATGATATTCATATGAGAGATGTTACGTCACCGGTGTTGGAGTAAAGACGTAATGGACGATTTTTTCAAATACAAATAGGGGTCATGTGACACCTTGATTGAAAGGTCTACCGATCGTCTATTCAACAGTCAAAATGTTGCATAAGAAGATTGAAATTGAAATGGATTATCATGTGATTAATTGAATCTTGCAGAGGTCTGCTACTGAGAAGTTAAAAAAATACGTCGAAAAAAAAGTTCTAAACTCTAGTTTTTGTTTTTTTTTTTCGAAAGTCGTCTTGTTTTGAAATGAATTTATTCCATACATTTGCATCATACTGTATATAGAGAACTATGGTTGTGAATGATTCAGAAATCATCAGTGTGTATTGATAATAATTTCGGAAACTATGCGCGGCTTGCAAACTCTACGTAAGCGGCGCCATACGGCCAGGAAATAAACTGATGCACGAAAACGAAACGAAGTCTAGTGTGAGTATTGTGTAGTGTGTACTGTGAACTGTGACTAATCTATTGTCTCTGACGCCAAAGACGCTACGGTTCATTTTGTTTGTTGTTGTGGTGTGCATATCATTGATCATTGTGTGCATATTATTGTAAAAGAAATGGTGATAGTGATCAAAACATCAATGTTCCTACACTTAGATTGAACTATAATATTGTTCTCATTAAGTTTATGTAAAAAGATGAGTTTCATTTTACTTCAACATCAAAAATAGCAGTGTCTGATGTCAATGTTCAAAATGTCAGAAATTGTGAAAACATGTTTGTTCCTACACTTATAATTGAACTATTTTATATAGTTATATTATGTTATCTTTCATTCATTATGTGTATTTATAATACATATTCAGAATTAACACATTCTACAGGGTGACCAAGAATACCAAGATAAAGTGTCGTTTCCGAATGCCCTATGCTATTCACATACTTATCTTCCTTATCCTACCTTCCTGATAGAAAATTTCCACATATCCAATGGATTGCTTTTGGACAATAATTGAACCTAAATTCAAAATCCATTGGATGACTAGGGGACATATATTTGACGTCCAATGGATTGATGGATGAATGGTTCCAATTCGTGTCCAATGGAACATAATTTGGATATCCATTCACAATCCATTGGATCACTGAAGGACATCCAGTGGATGCCCAAAAATTCAGACATTTGTCATCCAATGGACATCCAATGGAAACACATTGAAATCTGGTGTACAGCCGATGGATGTCCATGGTGTCCAGACATGGAGGTCCATTGGATGTTCATTGGACATCATTGTGTTAGCTGGGGGGACAGTTGAATGGAGATAATTTTGAATTCAATTGAAAAAAAAAATGAACGGAAAGGCACAAAAATGAATAATATTTACCTGACCAAGGCTGTCTCCTAAACCTTATCCGTTTTCCATTCCTCTTGAACAGCTTGCAGGATCCACTTTCAGGTGACTTTTTCACAGTTGTGTTCGGACTGCCGTCCGAGTTGAAATGACTGTTGACGTGTCTCTCCAACATCAACTACAAGAAAATTGACCGTCAATAAATCAATGATCTACAGTGTGGCCAAAGATGTGCTCATGGATAAATCAACAACTTGATATAAAGGATAAAATTCATTCAGAGTATCAACTGTAATTTACCCTTGGTTGTCATAATTGACAGTTTTGAAGCATTTGATTGCATCAGATCATAGACTTGCAAGAAGTACCTATTCCAATTATTGCCGGAAACATGACAAATTTTCTATTCCTTATACTGTACTATTATTATAATAATGCATGTTAGTCGAAGAAAAGAGACGTGATGTACTGGAGTGACAGTTCATCACTTACTAATATCATTTGAAAGGTGCAATATAATTGAGGGTTGTAATAGTATATTTATGCATATGGATAGATAATGATGATTCACAATATGCTTAGAAAGTGGGTAACTCGGGAGCGTCTACACCAATTATGGCAGGGTGATTTACCCTTGGGTATCATGATCGACAGTTTTGAAGTATTTGATTGCATCAACTTATAGACTTGCAAGAACTACCTTTTCTAATTATTGCCAGAAACATGACAAATTTAATATTTTTTATGCTGTACTACTATTATAATAATTCTTATTAGTCGAGGAAACGAGACGTGATGTACTGGGGTCACAGTTCATCACTTACTAATATTATTTGAAAGAATCAATATAATTGAGGGTTGCAATAGTATGTCTATGCATATAGATAAATAACAATGATTCACAATATGAGTGTGAACATTCTCAGAAAGCGAGGAACTCAGGAGCGTATACACCAATTATGGCAGGGTGATTTACCCTTGGGTGTCATAATTGACAGGTTTGAAGTATCTGATTGCATAAAATTATAGACTTGCAAGAAGTACCTATTCCAATTATTGTCAGAAACATGACAAATTTTAGTATTTCTTATGCTGTACTATTATTATAATACGTTAGTAGAAGAAAAGAAAAGTGATGTACTGGAGTCATAGATCAGCACTTACTGATATTATTTGAAAGGTGCAATATAACTGAGGGTTGCAATAGTATGTTTATGCATATGGATAAATAATAATGATTCACAATATGAGGGTGAACATGCTCAGAAAGTGAGGAACTCAGGAGCGTCTACACCAATTATGGCAGGGTGATGATATCACAAAATTGACGTTTTCCATGAATCATGAAAAGTCAAATGATGAATAAACGCTCGCATGTCGCAGTCAATGAACTATAGATCACACCTTCTCATGTAAGTTGTAACTTTGAATCTTCACCTACCAGAGAGATCAAAGAAAAAAAAAAAAGGACCATATTCGCGTTAGAAAATAAGCATACCACCTATCGGAGTTCTTAAAAGCTGTCATGTTTACTTTGTTTTCATTGGTTCACATTTGTTTTTTGTTTGTGCTTATTGGTCATATCATCAACACAAACCGCTCAGAAGTGTTCAAGTTGCTGCCGCCCGGTGGGGCGACATGTATTTTCAAGACTACTTAATCTAGCCATTTTTATGTTGAAAAGGAATATTCTCAGATAAATTATGAACATACAAAAATGGATATATATTTATATAAAGCAATACATTGAGAATTCGCATTCTCTATGTGATGAGAATATTTACTCTTTTTCAGTTGATTCAATAGAAAACAACTACTTTCCTGGCTATATGCCACGACGAACATTGAATTATATCTATTGAACACACACGATAAGAGTTTGAAAATAAAATATAAAAATTTCTGAAATTGAGAATTTGCATTCTCCTTCAGACAAAAATATGTATATACACGCATCATTCTGAATATTCAACAGAAAACAACTACTTTCCTGGCTATTTGCCACGTCGAACATTGAATTATATCTGATGAACATTCAAAAGGGGAACATAAAAAATAAAGAATAAAATCCTCCGAATTTGAGAATTGACATTCTTCTTCAAATCGGATGAATAATATGATGAATAATGATCTAGAAATATGACTTACCAATATATTCAGCATTGAAATGAAAATTGGAATGTATAGGAGAAGTATACTGGCATGAACTCTGATCTGAGAATATTCCTTTTCAACACTTTCATACCCAATCAGGGGGTTCAAACTTGAACGATGGAAACTTGTGATTTTTATAGACCTCTAATCGCAGATTCGTGATAGAGTCTCAATTCAGAATTCATTTCCACGCCCTGTATGATGAATGTCAATTTATCATACACCCAAAAGCATTTTTATGTTCTTCTTATTCATCAACAATGTAATCATAATTGATGATCATTCAAATACAGAACGAGATGCATAAAAAATGAATCTATGAAGACATTTAAAACCCTATCTATCTTATGAGGTTTAGTTCAAGCAAGAGATAAACTTGAGTTGATACTCGAAGTACTAATTAGTAGATGCCTTTGTGAGAATAGGCAAATGTCGTAAACATATTATTGCCTAATGAAAATAACAATTTATGAACTGTAATGAAAATAAGGAAAAATAATAGTCAATATGTACGAGTTGCATAAGAAACTTTATGTTCGACCGCTTTCTTACTTAAATAATTGAACATGTTGTTTTCCTGTATTTGAATGTCGGACACAGCAATGAAAATCTAGTGATAATTTCGCATGACATGAATAGTGAAATTATTTCATTAAATGGTACTTCCTATGGACAATATTAGCGTCCGTGAAATAGCTTTATCGGCCGGTCGGACATAAAATTATATTTCATCTGCTTCGGCATCTCTCTGACACGCATTTTGAAACGAAAAATGGATTCATCTTCGAAAGGATATTTGGTGACATGTTCTTCCATTCTTTGTGAAGATCAGTATGCCTGTATTCAATGATACACAAAACATCCTCCCTGGTTATGGTCGGTTGAAAATATCAGAACAGGAGGCAATCAACAGTTAACTGACCAATATACAAACATTCCATCAATGCCAATGAGGTCAATGCCAATTGGACTAACTTTTTCTAGAATTTCTCATCTAGAATTATTCATCTAGAATCTTCTCCAGAATCTCTATGAGTCTCTATAGTCAGTGTAGAGAGCTGACAATTACCAGACATTCACTGGATATAAACATTCACAAATTTTGAATTTTTGTCTCCCAATATGTGAAAAAATTAACAACTAGTTGGACAAATACAATTATATTATAATTTCTTTCTAAAGTATTCAAAGTTTCATTAAATGTTTGGTGATATATGGTAAGTAAGTAGTTTGGTACTCGAAACTATAGGAACTTGTGATGAAACAACTCTCGTTTTACAATTTCCAGACAACCCAACTATACTTCACAATATGACAACATGGTTGGGGTGACAAAATTGAAAACTAACGTAATCGACTTCGATATTGAAAGGCGGAATGGAGGATCTTTTCCAATCAGGCCATAATCATTGGGGTCTGTAATTGTTAAATGTGAGCATTCAATGCCAATCCTGTTCTATCATTGTCGAATATTTTTCTATAAACAAATAATATGAATGGAAGCCGAAACAAAGAAAATGTTTGCATGTAACTCAATGTTTCATAAAAATTCTCCATACCTGTTCCACATTAGAGAAGCCAGTTGATGACGGAGTAATTATCGTAGAAGATAACAAGGTCAGGGTAACATGTATACAGGGTGATTTTGAAATAAGTACATAAACATTAAGCACATATTATTCAATCTAACGAATATTATCAAGATTAATTTTATAAATCAGAGACAACTGAAATTATACGTATTTATTTTGAAGTCACCCTGTATCTATTTTTATACCTGAAAGAACACAGTACCTATCCGAGAGTACTTAAATACATGTCATACCTCTATGACTATCATTATCATCTGATACATCAATTATACCGAAAGTATGGAATCACATCTAAATAATACATATTTATTCAAGATGTAGTACTTGAATCTGGCGAATTGTAAATCATTTCTGAATCAATATTCCTTCCTAATGTGATTCACATTTTTTGCTGCAGAAGGCAGTAGATGTTAGTAGTATTTTGAGGCAGACTATTGATAAAACAAGTAGTTTCATGACCAGAATAATTCAATTAGGTTCAGTCCAGGTGACTTTATTTTTCTCCAGAAATTGGTGTTAAGTTTCAACTATTGAAATTAACTTCAATCTCATTAATAATAGCAGGCATTATATAATCGTTGAAGAATAGGTATTATTAGATAGAATAGAGAGAGTTGGGTTAGGTGTGATGACGTTATCATGAGCAAAAAGTAAAATCGAATGTATAGAGTCGAGTACAGAGTAGTTTCAACAGATGAATGCCGTTAATACTCCTGATGGTTTTCACCTTCATTTACTACCTCGAGTTTCTTTAGGAAATTCTCATACATTACATCAGTAGTTCGGGGTAATGAAGATGAGGCTGAAACTGAAAATGACATTGACGTTAGTACAAGTGCCATAATGTCAATACCGAAAATAAACCCAGTTCTTACGATGCCCATTTCCTACCAGGCCCACCCTAATATCGATGATTACGAAGAGTGTCGAGACCGTAGCGTTACCAGGTTAGAAGAAACAAGATTCTCAATATGCTCCATTTTTACGATGCCAAAACCTCACGATCCCCTATTCTTACTATGCTCACCATCCTTAGATTATCACCATGCCCACTTTTCATAGATTATCACCATACTCAATTCTTACGATGCCCAATTATTACCATATCCACCTCTGGTAGTCTCGCGAACACCAATTCTTAGCACTTACCTTTCTTCAGATTATCACCATTCCCGATTTCAATAGATCTCGAATTGGTAAAAATTGGGAATCGAGAGAATTGGTCATCGTAGGAAGTGGGTATGGTGAGAATCCATGAAAAGTGGGTATAGTGTGAATCTGTGGAAGGGGGGCACGGTGAAAATCGGGCACGGTGAAAATTGGGCATGGTAAGAATTGGGTATGGCAATTTTTTCTCAACTAGGCAACGTTGTGCTCTTGACAATCTTCATAATCGTTCACATGATTGGGCATCGTGTGAATTGGGTATCGC